AAAGGTACAGCTGGAGCCCAGTGGGATGCAGCCGGAGCCCGGTGGGATGCAGCCGGAGCCGTCGCCTCCAGCCCGTCTCCTCCGAGGCTGCTCGGAGGGTCCCCGGTGCCGCTGGGCTGGGGGGGCCTCAGGAGGGGCTGGGCTGGTCTCCCCCTGCCCCACTTGGGATTGAGGGGAGAAAAATAAGAAGACAACTTGGTAGGCGGCTCGCTGCGGCACGTCGGTTTGTTTTATTGGGGCTCAAATATCTGGCTTAATTTGGAGATAAGCTTCGTTTTGTTGGAGGATAAATCTGTTGAGATGGGGTTTAACTGTTGAAATGCTCCCTCTTGCTGGTGTAAATGGGAAGATTGCTTTTCAAAGTGCTTTTTCCTGGGAGCTGTTGCTCGGGCAGAATCCTGTATTTATTTCAGGCAGAATGGCACATTGTTTTATAAATATCTTTTCTGTAGTTTCCACGTAGCTGCGGGTTGTTGTGTTTCTTATATAATGCTACCCGAGATCTGTCTGACTGTCTTGTGTTTGCTTTACTGCTCGCTCCTCTCCCGTTACCGTTCAGATTTTCCTGCCTCAAGTCAAACCTCTGGGGGGATAAATCAGTGGTGCTCGTTGAAACAGACCACAACTTGAAGGGAATACTTGCATTTTTGGAATACCCTTTGCCACCCACCGGCAGCGTTTCCAGTGCTGTTGGGGAACATTGATAAGGCATTTTTCGAAGCGGTCGCTTTACCGCGGCGGCTCTCGGGGCTCAGCTTTGAGCCTTTGATGTCGGGTGAGGTGGGTTCCTCTGCTTCCGCCTGCTTTGGTCTTAAAAACCATCTAAAAAACGCTGTGCCTCTCTCCTTGCCTTCTCCCTTTTTCAGATGTGCCCTACTTTGGATATTCCTGCATTGAATGTCTGAGGAGCCCCAGCCGATCCTGAGCCATGTCGCAGATGTTGCACATAGAGATCCCCAACTTTGGGAACACCGTTCTGGGCTGCCTGAACGAGCAGCGGCTGCTGGGGCTGTACTGTGATGTCTCCATCGTGGTGAAGGGCCAGGCCTTCAAGGCTCACCGGGCGGTCCTGGAAAAGGCGCAGCCCCGTGCATCCTCTACTTCCGAGACTTGTTCAGTGGGAACAGCAAAAACGCCTTTGAGCTGCCGGGCACCGTGCCCCCCGCTTGCTTCCAGCAGATCCTCTCCTTCTGCTACACCGGGAAGCTGACCATGGCAGCCAGCGAGCAGCTGGTGGTGATGTACACGGCGGGCTTCCTGCAGATCCAGCACATCGTGGAGAAAGGGACGGACTTGATGTTCAAGGTCAGCTCTCCCCACTGTGACTCTCAGACCACCATGATCGAAGACCCCAGCTCGGAGCCGCAGAGCCCCTGCAACCAGCTGCAGTCGGCCTCGGCGCCCTACGTCATGTCC